CACAGCTCACCAAGGCAACAATATACGGGTGGAAGGGATCATAGAATTACCAGAGGAGATTCCGAAACCGTGTACTAGGCCCTAGACCGCAGAGTGGATCTGGAACACTGCGTTGTCAGTCCTTGAGACCCTCTTTTTTCCGTTGCTGTTGCCACGTGCAAGCCCAGCCAATGTTCTCAATGAGTTAAAAATTGCGCGCAGGGAACACAACCACGGAGATCTAGGGCTAGAAGCCCTGGGGCCCCCGAGGTGTCGGTGCACCCTTCGCCACCTTGCGCCTGCCGGCGTCACTCTTTCCATGAGCGGCTGCGGTGGGAACACAATGGCTATGTTGTCTGTGGTCTGCGCACAGTTGAACTGAAGCCGCGCGCACGAAATGCATGCATCGGCGGCAGTTGTATTCCGCCTACTCAGAGGGAAGCACCCTGGTCGACTCCCGACTGCAATGATCGCAGGGCAAATGGCGCTGCACTACAAAACTTTTAAAAAGAAATATCCAGTCCTCTTGGGGGCTGAAGAATAGCCTCTAGCAACGCGTCATAAGAGCAGAGCTCGAGGGGAGCAAATAGTTCTACTGACCCGGTAGTGGGTTAAAAACACTTGGGCACGTCTTGCTGCATAAGCTGTGTGTAACTGAGATTTACCAAAAACTTTGACTGATCTGGGTTGTCTCTTTATATATTTTATATACTGCAGAGTACCTCTTAGATCTACGCTAGATGGCACAATGCTGTCTAAACCCAGCGGTGAATGTCTGGACTGCTTAAATGATGCAGCTACTCACACCCAAACTGTCCCAATTCCCTCATGTTGGGAGCTCCAAAGGAATCGTAGAGGGGACAGAGAGTGTTTCTCTGAAACGGCATTTCGCTATCAACTTTCTTTCGAGTATGGAGCAAAGATGCTTTCGCCGGCCACCTTACATGGAGCGTTGCAGGAACGGTACTACCGCCCACAGCCTCCACAGGGCCTTAAGTAGCACCCATCCTACCAGTTTGCGCATTCCCCTTCCACGCGGCAATCGAATCTACATAAGAAGACAGGGGGCACATACGCGCGCGAAAGGAAGATAAACACGCTGTAGAGCTGCAGCTTGCTCGCTTTGGTGCGTCCGCTGGACTGCAACAGCAACTGCTGGAAATGTGCAGCAAGCGCCTACTGAAGTGCTGCAAAAGAGTTACCCTAGAGAAAGAACTTTATGGAAGACAATGCCACGCAAGGCGGCCCAGTGATACTGCACAGTACATTCTGCAGGGTGCCCTAGCATCCGTAGCGAGATCTCTTCTCGATACAGAGAAGGATACATGCTCAAGAAACGAGCAATTTAGTTGTTCAGATGGCTTAGTGGCTCTGTATCATGGAAAGCTAGATGTGTGTCCCTCCTGTTTACGTGCCCACGTGTCTCCATTATTCCAGCCTCAAAAAGGTCCTCAAAAGTCAAGAAAAAGCCCTAATGTTGAATCACACGGCGATCTCAAGGGATTCGAGGGAGCTCGGTCTCGGAGGTACGGAGGGGTGGGGGCGGGCACAGCCAAAGCCAGATACACAGAGCACACACCGAGTAAGAGAGAGGCGACTATAGGTGCTGAGAGAAGGCCGTGGTGTGTGCTTACAGGGTTTGCCCAAGTGGCGTGTGGATTTGGGCTGTGGATGAGATCGACGTATTGGGCATGGAGCAGCTGACATCAGACGGAGCGTAATATGTCAGGAGAAATATACTGGGTTAAGGCATAGAACTAGAGGTACAAAAAACGTTGTCTGTGTGGAGAGGCATTCCTGCTTTCTCGCATCCCCCCTGTCTCTGACTTTAATCGCCTTTGCTGTGGCTCCTGCTTTTCCAACAACCAGCAGCCCACCCCACAGGTGCAGCTGAGCCTTCCTAATTCCCTTTTCAACCTGTTGTAGCTCGGATCTATGTGTGCCTTGTCCCTCACATGCAAAGGCACGTCTGCCATCACCCTTAACACGATGATGATGTGTTGAAAGGAGAACATGTGAAACACCGCCCGTGGGGCCGTTCTATGGAGCAGATGCCTTCCCCTTTCCCTGTTGTCCTGACTGCCTTTCACGACTTTTGTTCTATGTGCTTCTCAATCGCATTATTTGAGCCCTCGGTGCCTGCTTACACTTGAGTTGAAGTGCCTAAAACGCCTTCCCCACAAAAGCGTTGACTTTGGTCAAAAGAGGATGAATGGTTCACTGCCGAGGAGAGAGACAAGAGGGTAGCTTGCCTCCGAAGTGGCACGGAGAATGGCGTGAAGCGAATTTATCAGTATTACAAGGGCGGATGACCCCAGGCCGGCAAAACGAGGGCAACCTCACTTTGCGTGCTTCACAAAAGCCAAAAATACTGCATCGCTTAGTCATGCCCCTACATTCAACGGCCGCAAGGAAAGCGTGTAGTGGCTTTCAGTGGAGTTCACACAAAGGACTTGCGCTACCTCTGTTCGCACCCATTTGTTTTGAGGGGAAGGCACTTGAGCGAGGATGCTGCTCGTGGTTTCTCCGGGGCCAATTTCAAAGACAAGGTAGCGCTCTGCTTATCGAAATGCCTGACAGCGTTGATGGCGAACCCAGACGAGACAGTAGCAGGCAGTAGGTTGGTGCAACCCCTACGAATCCAATTCTGAGGACGTCGAGACGTCTCCTTCTGTCGTAGTAAACCGTAGAGCATGTATATTTTGGAGATTGAGCTGTTAGGCTGATAAAACAGCAAAACTACTTCGTGTAGCCATAAACCATCTAGCGTACCTTGAGCACTTTATGGCACTAATCCACAATAGAATATTTTGATTGTAGCTGGCAAGAAAGAAGACAATATACCTCAACAACAGTAGTTATGGAAGTCCAAAGTGGTGCCTTCTAGTTCACTGCTTTGAAGGTTGCAGCAGGGGATTGGGGTCCATCCGGGTGTCCAACAGGACTCACATTTAAACTATCGCGCATTACGCATTATTATAAGCTTTTAATCGGTTAGCTAGCTTTGCTCTAAAGTACTGCATAGAGCAGTCTAAGATATAGTGATCACGTGCGCAAACTGGTGCTTAGCCAGGTGAGAAAGGGCAAAATATCTAATATGGGGGCATGACCCGGTCGCACGTAACATATTCGGGATATATCTATGCTACATCGCTCAGTTTAGGTCTTTAGGAAACTAGCAAAAGGTGCAAGTTTGATCTGTGTACGCGCAGTCTTACGCGCCTGCGGTCAGGTAGGAGGAAAATCGAGACGCATTTGGTAATTCACGATTGAGAACAATAGGCTAGCCCGCTAATAAACACCGACCCATTCAAAGTATAGACTAACCGACTAGCTGTATTTCTGCGGTTTAAGGCCTTTTTGGCAGTAGTATACAGTATTGTTGGCGAGGAAACATAGGCCATTGTGCACATTAGTCGTCTTTAATCGTGCAGCCTTAGAGCAACAAACACTTGATTAACTGCACGAATGTGAAGCCTATTTGCGTGACCAATCCTCAAAGGTGTGATATCAATCAAAAATTGCTCGCCTTTTGTCATCTACTGAAAATTTCAGGCGGTTTTCGTGTACACAATGCATGAGAGTATACGTCTGATGGCCCGGCGGCTGATATAAGCCGCAAACACACGCCATGACCTCAAGCCTACCACTACAAGAGTCAGCTAGCATAGGCTCTAAATAGGATGTTGTTTTCGCCATTTTGAGAGGGCAGGATACCCCAAAAAGTGCCAATGCAGAAACTATGAGCACAACTCCGCGAGATGCAGGTGTGCAGCAGAGACGCTTCTCCGTAGAGAACTACCGCGTGAAAGTAAATAGGTAAGAGCCATACTTGGCGGTGAAGTAAACTGGGTGCGCAAATGTGCACTTCTGAGTGTGCAGAGAAGCAAGTAGTTGCCACTAATTATTAGTCTCACAGAACTGTGCAGGAGACTAGACCTACTATCAAGTAGGCAACACTCTTAGTGTTCAGCAGAGTTGCAAGTTGCGCTCAATAAGGTGTATGAAAAACTTTAAAATAAGCTCGCCGTAGTGGAGGACAAGGAAATAAGCACAGTACACATGTATCTGGGAGTGTACCGTGAAGTACTACGCATTCGAGTCTGTACAAGAAATGTGGCAAGTGCCAGTCTCAAACGGGTCACCATTCTAAGCATAAAAGCAAACAGGTTGAGGTAAAGCGTGCATGGGATGGAGATAAGATCTGCCCAGGACAAGGAACAGAGCTGCCGACAACAGTAGTCTCTTCTCAATCCTTGGCACAACACTGATCAATGAAGAACGGATATGCGAATGAGTCAAATGGCCCCTGCTGTGGTGGAGGAAGAAGCGGATCAGATAATATGCCACTGAGGGCTTTCTTGTACTTAATAGGTCGCGTTGCAGCCGACTTCGTATGACATAAGGAAGTCTTACTTGGAAACATTCCAGCCGTTGCATTAGAGCATGGACATGCTTTTTAATTTAAAAAGTAATAGGGCCAAGACAGCGATTAAAAGGGTAAAAGCTTACACTGCTTCCGTTGTGCTGAAAGTGCCCGATGCATTACCATGTAGATAAACCTGGTGATCGTCTGCTTTCAGCCAAAGTCTTGTGTGACTGCAGCACCTCACGCGCTGAAAGCCATATTGGGCCGGTGAGGCCTTCTAGTGGCACGCGAATAGGCATGGGCTTGTGTCATGACATTGGTTTGCTTCTCCTCAAGGTCAATGACACTAGATAGCCCTTTCATGTCATGGTAGAAAGATTAAGTCTCGACGATCCCCTCCAAAAAGGCTTGACGAACGTGCAGGGGCGTCATAACCGACTGTGCAGCTGCCCAAACCCTTTCAACTCCAGTCGCCTAACTTTTACGCTCCTCAATATAGAGTAGTCGTAGTCTCGTATTCAGTAGCATGCAATTGGATCTGTTTGCAGCGTTCTTTAGCTCAGGAACGGAATGGATCGACCAGAACGTCGCATTCTAATTCGCGCTGCGTGCAGCCAGCATTTGCATGGCGGTGCACCTTTAATGCTTATTCCTAATTTGAACATCTATTCGACAGAGTTAGCATGTGGCGGAGTGGATGCAGGTTCTCTTCGGCGTATAGTCCTTCCAAAGTATTGAGTTTCCAGCTCCAATTTTTAGGGCTATCAACCCCTGGCAAATTGAATCTACTGTGATCGTCAAGACCTAAAATGTCTTGCACTGGAAGAATGACGAGATAGGCTACACTCAGAAGGGCCAAAAGCGACAGAACTGAGTGGATAGATGATGCTGGCGGTTCCTCCTTCAAACCTGAATAACGGACCACCATAAAAAGCCTAGCATAATATGAAACTGCTATAGGGGCTACAGGCAATGAGAAGGGAAGCATCGCGTGCGTGTTTATGATAATAAAGCTTCTGCTCCATGAAAAAAACGTCATGCTGAATGCTTGCAGATACCTTCCCCGTGCCAGAGCCAGCCATAAGAATGGAAAGAACCTGGTTTCCTTATGTAGGAAGCCCCACCAAGGTAGTTCGAGAGGTGTTCCTTCTGCCTATCAGAAGCATTTTTCCACCAAGAGTGGGAGGTAGCATTATCATGCGTTCCAGTGTATACTACACAATCCCTCGTGTGGTTGTAGGGCAAGTGCTCGCAGCGCAGCCCCTTCTCCTCGTCGTCCCACGCGAACTGCATGACTCGCATGCTAAAAATGCTATATCTGTCCCGAAGAGCCACAATCTCAGGAGTTATGAACCCTAAGTCCTCCGCAATCAGTAATGGAGCAGATCTAACGATGTGTCCTCTTAGCTGTGGCATGGACGAATGCTGAGCTCCAGAGTTGTTGGTAAGCAATGCATTGGCAGCAGAGCCCTTATTGTGGAAACGGGCAAGCCACTTCTTAATTGATGCCTTCTTCGAGCTTTTAGCAAGTGCCTCCGAGTAGGCACTAGCTACGTTTATTCTAGGGTTCTCCCACCCCATGTTCTTGAAAACTGCGTCAAAAAGCTTTCTTCCAGGTCCCTGCACCCACTCTCCTTCTTTTGCACTTTTATGCTTTACAGCAAACTCATACGGAACTCTCCAGTACGACTCAAAGCCCCGGAAGTGATCAAGACGACAGGCATCAAACTTTTCAAAACTACTTGCCAATCGCCGAGTCCACCAAATAAAGTTGGTGCGCGCGTGGGCATCCCACGCGTAAACAGGATGTCCCCACAGTTGCCCTTCGGCGCTAAAATAGTCTGGAGGGACCCCTGAAATCAAAAACTTACAAATGCACATTAGTTTCATAACAGAGTGTCCGCTCCGATTGTGAACATACTCTGTTGGTTAATGCTGAGGGCATGGCAGCATGGGGCCTTAAAGCTGTGGATTGTGCTTCTGTGTCTCACCAGACACATAGAGTGGCGTGTTGGAAGCTGAGTCTATTTCAAACATCTCAGAGTTACTCCACGCATCGCTTGAGTGCATGTTAACATAAAATGCTATGTCGCCCACTATTTTAATACCATTTTTATTAGCGTGTTGGCGCAGCTGACTCCATTGTTGAGCAAGTACAAACTGTACAAAGCAGTGAAATTTGGGTAGCAACTGTACTATTGGACATGCATTTTCGCAAATATCGGGCGTTTGTCTTTCCTCAATCGTTTCCAGATTCTGCAGCAATGGCTTATTTTTTAGGAGGCTTCGATAGGATCGATACTCTTCTGGCCACTCGAGCCAAGAGGAAGCCTGAGGATGTCTTGCCTGTATAGCTTCAAAAATAACATATCCATCAAGCCAAAATTTGTTGCTTTTGAGAAATTCTTCATACTCAGCTGAGGGTGTCATCTTATTAAATGTTTCAAACGCAAGGGCAAGCAATTCATCTTTATAACCTTTCGCTACATGAAAGTCAACAAAAGATGTAAAATCTGATTCACTATCAGAATTAAGTTCAATGTTTTTTTGCCTTCGCTGCTGTTGTTCGACCCGCCACTTTTCCACCAGTTCCTCCACTTGTTGCTCTGTAACTAATCCAAGAGAGATAAGCCCAACAGGGCAAACCAGCAATGGGTTCAGTGCGAAAGAGCTTGAGCTTAAATATGGACAACCCGGCTGCGATTCAGAATATGTACAAGGACCAACTGGAAGTACTTGCCAATAAGAAAACCCTGCTTCTTTGAGATATGCCAAGAAGGGCAAAGCGCTAGCCCCGAGGTCACCTACAATGCCGCACTTGCTAGGTAACGAAGTGGGATGCAGCAAAACTCCCGCATAACGGCCTTCATACATAAAATCCATCTTTACAAATATGTTATTACGAACGGCGCAATGAGCAGCATGTGCGCCCGTTGTTGCAGAAACCACTATTGGGTTACCGGTGGGATTCGCTTGAAACTTGCTTTCTAGCCGCTGTACCTCTTTTATTTCACAGCTCAGATAATATGCACCGGATTGCATCGATGCGCAGAAAAACGTTTCCATTAATGCTGGTGCGCGGGCTAGGCCGAAACCGCATGCATAAGCCTGGACATTATCAAGCCACTAGCTGGTCTCCGTCGAGTGAGATAAGGAAACTTAATGGAGCTACAGCTTCTTCACAGCTCGTTTTAAATTTCTGCACTATCAGCTTTTAGAGACCATCCGGCGTGACAGTTTCAAGATTCAACCGCGCCACTGAGTTCAGAGCTGTGGCGTCAGTCTCTAGATGGCAACCGCTCCCTCGGTTTTGTAAATAATACGAAAACAAAAGTTTCTCATTAAATGCATGCATATTTTGCATGAGAATACCTCAAAGGAGCGTGCAGGTAGGCTTTAGGCTAATCTCACTTCGCAAAAAGGTTGACATAGTAATGGTCACTAAGTGACTGACGGGAGTCAGTATCTACACAGAGTGGCTCCAAAATCAGTTTCAGGTTCAACAGCATGCTTCCATGTGTTTATTGGATTGACTGCAGATGTGCTTTGTTGTACCTCCATTCCTAGATAGTGCTGAAGTCTATGGTTCTCCCCTTCGGGGCACAATGTTAAATGCCGAAGCTCCAGTGAGGAAGGGAGCAGCTTTGCGGAGGACGATAGAATATTTTGATTGCTTCTGGCGTGGAATTTTAGTATAACTACATATTTCAACTGTTTGGTTGACTCCTTCTACCAGAGTATTGTTATTTAACGATGCATCTAACTTTGAGCTCGAAGTAAATGAACAGTTGCGCTGGTCCGAAGAGCAAGGAGGAGCGCTCAGGTCCATCAAGACGGTAAGCACAACAAAACACTTCTCAAATGGAAAATTTTGGGGAAACCAAACAGGAGTTTGCGTTAATATGGTGCGTTTCCCGGAGGACTAAAGGCCTAGCTAAATGTCGTTCGAGCACAGGGCGCTACTCTTGAGTGGCACTAATATAACGCATCATGTAAAGTTTCCGTAGAGAGACACTTAAATCCAGGGTAAACACAAACTTGATCGAAAGGTGCTGATTATTCCTGAAAAGAGTTCCCTTCTTTCCCTACTAGCGCCCAATAGAGTTGACATATGAATAGGACAGCTACGGTGCGCGCATCCGGATTCTTATAGCAATTTGCATATTCATTCCTAGTTTTGCTTAGAAGCTAGCGTGCAAGCACACATTATGTCTTCTTGCGTCATTTTTCTGCAATAAGTACGCTTTTATGAACAGCCAGGCGGAACACCGCCTTCTTTACCAATCTTATTTCAAGATAACTAATTGTGGTATAAGTTTTCGAAGTGCCGCTCAGCCCACCGCGAATTCTCCCACTAATTAAAGAAACATTTGTTCGTGTTTTACACTTGTTTTGTCCAAGCGAACTCCGTGCAGGATTGCGACGAATCCCCACACCATCACCACTCCCCATGTGGGCACAAACTCGCGCAACTCCGCGAATGAACAGGCAAAATAAGGAATAGTCTGCTAGAAGTATATATAGGAGGAAAACGGCACACGTATTAGATAGCAACAAACGAGGTGGCAAATTAACTTGAACCTCAGCAACGTCGTGGCTAGCTGTCGCCGGAGCGCCGTACTCTGTGAGCACTTCGCTACGGGACAAGAGTAAACAAGTAAAATAATGTGCAAAGGGTTATAAGAATAGGCAATGCTTTAGCAGCCGTTGCGTGCCTTATGCATCCTTTGCCCCATGCAAGTGCAGCCAATGCATGCAGCATAGTTGATTTTGAAGCTCCGAAGCAGCCATAAGGAAAAATATAGAAACAGCCTATCTCAAGCTGCTCGGGTTCAATTCTAGAGTGGAGTACGCCTTTGAAATTGGGAGCAAGCAGTATTAAGGCAATTTCATAGCTAAGGGTAGCTTTTTCGGACAGAGAATATGCAGAAAGGAAAAAACAGTCACGAAGCAACGGCTGTAGTACCGTTCATGCTGACTAGCGGTGTAAACCAAATAGAGCTGCGAATCACCCTGCAGGCAGCTACATCAGAAAGCCATATAATTCAAAAATCTTGTCCACACTGAGCTTAGAGGATAATCTATCGGCATAGCGGCAAACAGCCATCCAGAGTAAAGTTGTGCTGATTTTTTGTGACGCATTACTAAAAGCAAGCACATATCTTTACAGACCGTCTTTCAGCATCATGATTTCTCACCTTTTGAAATTACGCAGTGTTTAGGAGGGCCTCAGGAATCGAACATTAGTTGTCTCGCTTTAGCTCAGTGCAAGTGACTCAGTTTTTCTCACGAGAATGTTTTGTCACGACCGGAGATAAGATATTGAATGCAAGTATGTAAAATATGGACGAAAAGCCTTTTAAACAGTTAGTAAGTCTTCGACGCATCCTGCGCTGTTGCCCACAGTGCATGAGGGCTTTCTAACTTGAGATAAATAATATGTTTGTGGAGTGTTGCTCAGGGACCTCGATTTTCTGGTGTAGGCTTTTGTCCGGTTGGAAACGGATGTACTCTGCAAGCGCAAAAGTGCAAGTTTTCGGCGACTATGAGGTGCCTCTAGTACGTTGTTGGACGTCGAGTGACCATACTGGTGGTAGCCAACGAAAAGAACCACCTTATAGCCATCATGATAATTCTTTTGACATTACTTTTGGATGGCTGGTTGTTTGGATTCGATAAACAAGTAGGCTTGTTGATGGGTGTATAAAAATATCAAGGATGAAGCACTGATGCTTAATACCATACTCTACTTGTGGGCTTGTTACCTACCCTACGAGAAGCATGTGCCATGCAACGGTACGAGTTGGTACCAGATTTGCTTCACTCCATGAACACAGGCGGTGATCCTAAAGTCTTGGGCTTTCTCTTTGCCCCACTGAAGCAGTATATAGGCCCTTTAGGAGTCTCTTTAGTACACTATCTGTCCTACAAACATGTCTTAGGTATAAGAGCAAAGCTCACTAATTATACGTTAACGGGGACTATGTAAGTCACCATTCATAAGTGTAGAAGCATTTTGTTACATAGACAATTGTAGCCCTTTGCTCTACTGAGTCTGTGATACAGATTTGCCTTTCAAAAAAATTTGCGGTAATCAAGATGTGTATAGATTTCTGTAGTACGTGGTAAGTACACCTGAACGAAAAGGCTAGGCATGCCAGGGGAACGACGAAATGGGCGCAAGGTGTTGCACTTTGGGGTGGCAACTGCGGGCTCATTGCTATTTTCTCGCCATCCAGTTACTATAATATGCTCATTGATTGGGCCTTATTTTGCATGCGCCTGCTTGACTGCAATGCAGATACTTTGTCTTACCTTGCCTAATGAAGTGAACAGCCAGCTCGTCGACCAGCACACCAGGGCTAGACGCACCCTCGAGTCTCTAATATGTGCTAATAGCATTATTGGCATGCAATTGAAGGTACGATTATCACAAGGCCTTCCATGTTGCTTTGGCGATATTTTTCCTTATAGGCGCTTGAGTCACATTTCCCCTAATATCACGATTTGGTCTTGCTTGTGATATAAACGGTGCAGTGCCAGCAATGCGAGTTTGAAGCAGCAAGCATTACATTTGTGAAAATTTAACACGCATACGGCCTACCTAATATATGTGATAATTGCTATTCTCTTTGCCAGTTGCTTTAGACTTTTGCATTGGTGGTCATGGTGGGTGCAAGGTGGTGTAACACCACCCAGCGGAAAAAAGTAATGTTCGAGGTTCAGTAGCAAGTAGAGCCAAGCTGTTTCCTTGTTGATAGCACTACAGTGTCTCATTTCGTGTGCCATTTAACTTTCGGTTGGTAACATCTTTTCTAGCTATTCCACAGGATCCTTGCTCTCGGTGAGCAGCAGCTGTGATATTAATACAAAGCACGCATCTGTAATAATTATCGGCTGCAAATTTGACCCGTCCCGGAATGCTGGCCATCCCTCTTGATAGATGTACTCACACTGGCCTCTAAACCTGTCATTGCCAACCTTCATGCATGAACACCCTATATGATTTGAGCCTAAAAAGACTTTTGCATTACGGGACCTGGATGGAACAGCTACTCATGGCAACGAAAGGAAAGGCCAAGACGCTACCTTGTAAGACGGGATCGCCCTAGTGCTCAACCAGTCTGTCGTATGGATCTGAACCCACAATCGCAAATGTCGTTCTCTACGCATCGACACCCTTAACTTCCCTTGACCGCATCACCCTGCTTCTACTAGCATCGTTCGCGCATACCATCTTTAGTTGGTTTTCAGAACTCCCCAGATGACCAAAGGAGCAACGAACAAACTCGTGAATTATGAACATAGTGCACGATGTTCAGAGTGTTTGCATGCTAAATAAGCTGAACAGACTAAAAAGATTCATATGTAGCCTGGTCAGTTCGAAATCACGCCTTCATTGCCGGTGCTGAAGACGCCGACTGTCTGCATGGGGACACAGACGTTGCTGTCATCATATCGTACACTCACAAGGGAGAACGTGCATACTATTATGAATACTCTAAACGAGCACCTTTGACAGTACCTCCTGAAGAGTACTTCTCAAGCGTTGGACCCCAAAAGAGCTCACGCAAACGATGCAGATACTCGCTTGCATACGCATGCCTTCGTATACAACCAAAAGTTTCTATGGAGCTAAGATGGTTGTGTGGTGCACCTGCGGCCAAGGGTGCTAATTGGATGCCTTCGGTCGTAAGAGGAATGCAAATAGATGTGCCGTGGTGGCTGATAAGTTGAAAATGCACGTATTGAAAGATCTGGATTTGCCCCAGAAGTGAACAACTTGTGACCACGACCACCTAGAGACCCAGGTATAGCTCACCACCTAGGAATATCCATCAGAAAACAAAGCTTGGCATGACACACGTGTGGATACAAGGAAT